GCTCTGAATCCAACCAGTCTCAGCCCCGCAGCTGCAGGTAGCCTCTGCAGGCACAGGGAGCCTCTGGTAGGACTGCCTGGCACTCAGGCAGTTGCTACATTTCACTGTAACTCTTTATAGCTCAGATAGTGTTGTCTGCTGGGAACCTCATGCATGTGACTGTCCTGCCCAGACAATGCCCCAGGTATACTCAGGATCCTAGAGCCCTCGGAATCGTGCCAGGAGAGATTCCCCAGTGTGAGGAAATCGCAGCAACAGCTGGCCAGCGGCTTGGCATGTCACCAGTCTGCAAATCCCAGCATGAGGCATCCTAGCCCATACTGCCTGGAATCCCAAAACCACTGGGTTAGCTAGCACTGAGCCCACATAATGTCCCAAGCTTCAGATCCAACCTTGTGGACCCTAGCCAGGCTCAGGACTTTGATTGGCAGCTGCTTAAGGGGTGGGAGGGAGCACGGGGTAGTGTAAGGCAAAGGCTTCCTGATCCTGACTGCACTCATTTTTTTTTTTTGGATTTTTCGAGACAGGGTTTCTCCGTAGCTTTTGGTTCCTGTCCTGGAACTAGCTCTTGTAGTCCAGGCTGGCCTCGAACTCACAGAGATCCGCCTGTCTCTGCCTCCCGAGTGCTGGGATTAAAGGCGTGCGCCACCACCGCCCGGCTGCACTCATTTTAAAATGATAAATGTTCCACAATCATATTTGATGGTGACCCCACCTGTCTGAGCATGCTAAAAGCCCACTGCCTCTTAATGAGCGAATCTGGCATACAGGTCAAAACATATCAACAAACCAGGCAGGGTGGCACATGCCTCTCATTTGAGGCTGAGGAAGGAGGGTCCCCAAGTTCCAGGCCAGTCTGAGCTACACAGCAAGATCCTGTCTCAAAAATACAAAAGAAACTCAAGTCAGTATGGCTGTGGCAGCGACCTCCCATGTGGGTACGCCCTGGTAACACACTGTTCCTCTCTGAGTGTGGCTCTGCAGATCCCAACACAGAAGTCTATTGAGAGCTTACCGAGGGAAAATGTACTGAACCCACCGACCGGGCAGCTCGAGCTTGCCCTTAGCAGGCAGTGTGGACCTGCAGTAAAACCAGGCCTAAGAGTTCACATGCTGTCTGGCTATGTGTGAGGAACGGGGCAGAATCGTGACAGTGATGATGTTATGCACAAATGAGTTGGATGACATTTGTAGCTATCCTGGGGCAAAGGAGGATGAGACAAGGAGGATAACTACAGCCTAGGGACAAGGTGGCTTTGGACCACCTCCCAAAAGTGGAGGGCCACAGGCCCCAACAAGTACCAGTTATGTTTCTCACCACTCTGTGCTTTAGACAGAGGTGGTGACAGCTCAGCTCTCTAGAAGCAAGGCCGGCTGCAGGCTGAGGAAAATTTTGAGTGCTCCAGGAAGAAGGTAGCAGACTTGAGATCGTGGCTTGAAGGACTCCAGAAGACAGAACCCCCGGGGTTAACAAGATTTAGGAAGCTCCAACAAGGCTGGGCAAGTCAGGGAGAAGGGGGCGGGGCTGCATGCAAATGTGACCTGGAGACACTATTTGCAGCCCCCCTCAGACCTTTGTGAACCAAGGGCCTTCTTCATTTCAACCCAAAGGGAACCTGAGTTGGTTCTGGCTTCAACCTTATCTATTACCTAAACCCGTGACTGTACAAGAGCAAGGGGCCAGCTGAGTCTCCGCACAAAGCACCCATGCAATCCTGACTGAAATGGGGGAAGGGGCCAGTTGCATGCCCGAGGCCCAGGGTTCTATGCCCACTACCGCACAAAAAAAAAAAAAAAGCGCCGTGGGAAGAAAACAGCAGGTGCAGGCTGCCCGGCTGCAATTGGGACAACTGGCATTGCCCTCCTTGAGTGTTGCAAGGCAGCCTGGTTTCCGTAGACTACTACCTAGACACTGCATCAAAAAAAAAAAAAAAAGTCTTGGACACAAAAGCAACAAAGGCTAAATGTTCACAGTACTCAGAAGTCACTATGGCAGATGTCACTTCTGGGGGAACGAGTAAAGAGACGGCTTTAGAAGAACCACAAAAATGGCATTTAGAAAGAAAAAGGCAAAAATACATAGCTGAGGGGAATCAGGCCACCTGGAGCAGTTCGCCCTGCTCCCCGGAACCCCGCTAAGGTCCCCGCGAATTCCCCTCAAGGGTCAAAGGGTCAGCCCAGCCCCCTCCCACCCCTGCTTCCCAGCGGCGTCTGGCCCGGGCTGGGCGCCCCTAGCCCGGCGAGCACGGTCCCGAACTCCTCAGAGGACAAAAGCTCGCGCCACAGGAGGGCGCGAAGCCGCGAGGCTGCAGTCGCGGGCGGCGCGCACGCGTACTGGGTCAGCGAAAGCCCCGCGTGGCGCACACGAGCGGCGCGGAGAGGCCCTCACGAGCAGCAGGGCAGGCGCTGGGTCGGGCGCACGCGCACTGAGCGGCGAGCCCAGGCTGGCGCGTGCGCACTGGGCACATCTACCACGTAGGACGCACTCTCGCACGCACGTCGCCCGGCCCAGACCGCGGCCCGCAGTAGGGGCGCCCAGGCCGCCGCAGAGGCCGCTGGGAGGCGCCCGTTGGGGCCCTGCGCGGCCGGCGCGCTCATTCACCTATAGTAAAAGACATCCCTGTGGCCGGCCGACAGCCCCGACCTCCTGGGCACTTCTTCCCTTTCCCAGCCCTGCGGGAGCGCCGGGCACTCCCACCTCTTCCGCTCCATCGCGCCCCGGCTCTCCGCCCGCCTCCGGGCCCGCCGTCGCCGATGCCGCCGCCGCTGCAAGTCGCGACCCCCAGGCTCGTCGCCGCCTCAGTTCCCTCCGCCGGCACCGCCGCTCGCCGCGGCTGTTCCGACCCGCGGGCCTCCGCCCTCCGCCCCCAGCCGGGCGCGCGCCGGCTTTACCACCCGCTCGGCCCCCTCCTCGTGCTTCCCAGCCCCCGCTAGGGGGGCCGCTCCGCCCACCCGCCCGCGCGTGGGGCGCGTCTGCGCAGCCGCAGCCTCGGCCCCTCCCCCACGCGCTCGCAAGGCCCGCCCCGCGGCGGTGAGGCCAATGGGATCAGCCCGGGCGCCTCCGCGCCGAGCTGCCCTCGGGCCCCGCCCAGCCGCATTGGCAGGACACGCCCCGTGGCGGCTAGACCAATCGGCGGGGACAGCCAATCAGCGTGACGAAGGCGGGACCGTGCCCGCGCTTGCGCTCTGAACGCCTTAGGCGTCCTGCACCTGGTCCCTACCGTGCTGCAACCGTTTCCGCCAGGCGGGTTGTCCTGGGGTCGCGCTCGCCTGCACCTGCGCAGTGTGCTTTTGGCGGGACTCCCATCTGTCTCCTGGCCTTTGTGGCTGTGATCTGGTGCAACTCCAATCCAGTCCTGCTTACCTTGCGGCTCCTGCCCCAGCCTCTACACTGTTTGACAGGCGAGCACCACCACACCCGGCTCCAAAAACTGTTTTTTAAGTTTATTCTTGCCGGGCGGTGCTAGCGAACACCTTTTAATCCCAGCCCTTGGGAAACAGGGTCAGGCCGATCAGTGCGAGTCTGAGGCTAGCCTGGCCTACATAGTGAGTTCCAGGACAGATAGACCCTGTCTCAAAAAATAATTGTACTAGCCGGGCGGTGGTGGCGCACGCCTTTAATCCCAGCACTTGGGAGGCAGAGGCAGGCGGATATCTGTGTGTGAGTTCAAGACCAGCCTGGTCCACAAGAGCTAGTTCCAGGACAGGCTCCAAAACCACAGAGAAACCCTGTCTCGAAAAACCAAAAAAAATAAAATAATTGTACTTTGCCTGTCCAGAAACATCTGATTTTCCCAGGCAAGTCTCTCAATCTGTAGCTCACCGTTGCCTAAACTGGCTGGCCAGGGAGGTTCCCTGCTGGGCTTTCTGTGGGTGCTGACAATGTTCTCCTGTTTGCATGGCAAGCAGGTTACTGCCTCCTGCATTTTTTTTTTAAACTAATAATATGTAGCCCAGGGCGTTTCCAACCATACAGACCTTGGGATGGCAGGTGTGTGCCACCACTTTCACAGGTCTGGGACAGGCTCTCACTCCCCCCATCGTACCTCAGCCTTCCAAGCATGGAAGACACAGCTTGACCACCCCTGAAGTCAAAGGTCACTCAAGCTGACTCCAGTCCCCCTGCTTGAGCATCCTGCACAGCTGGGATGCCAGGCCTAGGTGGGTTGTTTTTATTAAAGATTTATGTGTATGGATATTCTGCCTACATGTTCGTCTGTGCATCATGTGTGTCTGGTGCTCAGAGGCCAGGGGGGCAGGGGGCTCCTGAGCCTGGAGCACCGTGAAGTGCTGAGAATAGGAGCTGGGTGTCCCACAAGAACAAGTGCTCTTTACCACCCACCTTTTTTGAGACCAGGTCTCAAGTAGCACAGGCTGGCCTCTCCATGTATCAGACAGGTGGGTGCACTGTACTCAGGACTCTGAGACAAAGTCAGCAGACAGCCCACTCTATCCGGAACCCACAGGAAATAAAATACTTAGGTGAAAATGTGTACCATCGTGCCAGGACTGGAGCGTCCTTGGTTCAGCTCTGTGTTACCATACAGGAAGCCCTGGGGGCCATTCTCCCCCCCCCCAAACGCAGGCATGGCGGTCACACCTGTCATCCCCGCACTTGTAAAGTGGAGACAGTCAGGTAAGTTTAAGGTCAGCCTTGGGTACATATTGAGTTTGGGGCCAGCCTAGGCTACCTAAGACCCTGTTTCAAAAGCAAACTAAACCTGAAGGAAGAAGCCCTGCTATGCTGGGTATGGTGGCCACAGGGGCCCTGAACACTAATTTAAAAGCCATTAAAATGGAGAGTGACTTGTTGGGCAGCCCCGGAGAACAAACTGTGCTTTTCCATCTAGAAGCTCCTTAAGTGTGGTAGGATTTCTGCTCGCCAGTGAAGACTCTCCCAGCTCTCTAAACGTTGGGTGCTGAAAAGACCCTTGAGGTGGGGAAGCCTTGAGGACGAGGGGGAACCAGGCAGAGGGCATGAGAAGACCGAGCATCAGAGGTGTGAGAACAAGGTTTAATGTACACCCATCAAGGCAGCCCAAGTGTCCATCTGCGCAGAGGCTCCCCGGGAGCTGCGGGACTTGGCCATGTCCAGCTTCCTCAGCATCCTTCACGAGACTGAACTGTTCCTAAGACAGCAGGTGTGAGCCTGGGGAAGGGGACGACATCGGGTGAGCTGACAGCAGGTGTGAGTCTGCGGAAGGGGATGACAACAGGTGAGCTGACAGCAGGTGTGAGTCTGGGGAAGGGGATGACAACAGGTGAGCTGACAGCAGGTGTGAGTCTGGGGAAGGGGACATCGGGTGAGCTGACAGCAGGTGTGAGTCTGGGGAAGGGGACATCGGGTGAGCTGACAGCAGGTGTGAGCCTGGGGAAGGGGACATCGGGTGAGCTGACAGGGCCCAGAGCTCTGTGAATGACCCCAACAGTGTCACTGAGCTGTAAGGTAAGGAAGGAGGACTAGGGACGTGATCAGTAGGTAAGGCGTCTGCCATAGGATGTGGACTTGACAGGCCAGAAAACCCAGATGGCTGGCTGCTATAGCCAATCAGAGAGTGAGGTACAGACGACACACAGTTCCCGGCACCACAGAGAAGCTCATAACCACCAGGGACTCCAAGCCAGGGGCGCTGGAGTCCTCTTCTGGTCTCTATGGACATGCATGCACACATACACACCTTGCAAAAAATGAAGTAGTCAGAGCAGGTGCCAGGACAGGCTCCAAACCCTGTCTCGGGGGAAAAAAGTTTGAAAAAGTAGAGGGGCAGGGAGATGGCCCAGTGAGAGGAGTCTGCCATGCAAGAATGAGGAACTGAGTTCGAATCTCTGGTCCCTCATGAAAGCCAGGCACTGCTGTGCACGCCTGTAGCCCAGCACTTGGGAGAGAGATGGCACCAGACAAGCAGATTCCGGGGAACTCCTGGTTGGCCAGATAACCTAGCCAAAGTGGCGGGCTCAGGTTCGGTTCCCATCTCAACTCCTGGCCTTCATACCAGTGCGTGCACACATGTAAGTGTACACGTACACACACACACACACACAAACACAAGTGGTCTACACAGGACTGCCTTGTGGGCATCAAACTTTCAACATAAGCAAAATAGCCAGTTTGCCGTGGCTCGATGTTGCATACCCTCAGCCTATCCCAAGAGGCCTGGGGCAAGGGACAACCTCGGGCACCAGCTCCGAGCTAGGCCACTAGCCAGTTCAGCAGCTGAGGGAGTCCTAGGTGTGGGAAGGTCTGAGGGATCCCCGGCTCTACCTCTTGGCTACCCCAGAACCCCCACCCCACAACAATCAGGCCCAACACTCAGACTCACCAGGGAGATCCTGAGTATGACGGGGTTTTCCTAATCATCCTTCTTAAACTTGCCGTTGATGTAAGGTACCCAGTCCAGGATCAAACGCCAGTCTGTGGCCCACACCAGCCCCACAGCACCCATGGCACCCCACATGCTGGCAGTGGGGATCCTGGAGGGACAGAGGCAGTTAGACGAGAACCCTTCTCCCGTGACACCCCACGCTGATATCAGTCAAGGGCTTTCTCAGTGCTCATCTACAGGGCACTCGGGAGGCTGAGGCAGGTGGATCTCTGAGTTCAAGGATGCCCTGGTCTTCTAGGGCAGGTTCCAAAACTCCAAAAGTTATAGCTATACAGAGAAACCATAAAAACAAAACAAACAAACAAAACAAATTAAAAAGAACTTGGGTTCTAAGCACTGGACGGCTATGGAACCCTTGCTGGGTCAGGTGGATATTTGGGGCAGGTTCATCAGAAGACCTTCTGTACTGGACAACAGACCTGGGCTGCTGGGAGTCCAGTTCACACAGGTCCAGTTGCTTATGCCCAATGGGACCAATGGTTTGGAGATCGCCTGTGAAGCTCAACTATGCAGATCACCCAGCTACACTGCTAAATCCTCCCCTCCCCTGTCCCCTACCAAGACACCTAGGTGTCACCTCCAAGCTTCAGATACAAACGGTACCTCTGTTAAGTTGGGAGCATAGCCCCCAGCCCTGAGAGCTGTATTGGTCTGGACTTCAAATCCCAGCATGCAAGGTCCTGACCCCTCAGAGCTCAGGACCACTCCCACAGACTGTGTGAGCTCCCAAAGGAGAAACATGTGGTCTCTTTCCCTTCCTCCTGGTGGGCGCAGCCTCCCAGTTCCCCCTTAGGGCCCCCCCGAGAGCGCAGGACTCCCATTAAACCTGGGTATTAAATTAAACCTGGGTATTTCTTAATTTGGCTTGATTGGGAATTTGCATTGGCAGAGAACTCACGTTAGGAAAAATTCCTAACATCTGCCTGTAGCAGTCACAAAATCTGTGCTGCCTTCCATTGAGGTCACCAGTACCATACAGTTAGGTGTGGTGTTGCTGTAGGCATTAACGCACCCATTACCTACCTGTCAATCCACCAACTGCCTATCATCTGTTTATCGAGACAGGGTTCCGTGTGTCCCTCCCTGGCCTGGAATACACATGTATCCGACAACAGCCATGAATTCCTGGTTCTCCTGCCTGCAGAGCCCCAGTACTGGGAGGACAGGCCTGTGGTACTGGGGTTGGCCCCTGAGACCCCAGAATTGCGTGAGACATTGGAAGGCTGACTTTGGGACTGTAGTATTAACTTGGATAACTTTTATATGCACACCCTTTGTTGCTGTGGATAGGATCTTTTGTATCCAAGGTTGGCCTTGAATCCGTCATCCCCCTGCCTCCATCTCCTATGTGTGCAGTGTGGGGTTGGAACACAGACCTTCTGCGCTTGCTGGACAGCTGATCCACCCACTCAGCCACAGCTGGGGCCCGACACTCTTGGATGACAGTCGTTTCAAGGGGCTGGGGTGTGAGCTTGACAACAGCACTATGGTCCTGAATCTCATTGCCACCGTTGCAAAAGTTTAAAAAATTAAAAGCCAAGAGGTGGGGGCTGGGAGGTTCAGTGGTTGGGAGGGCTCACTGCCTTGCAGAAGAACCACGTCTCCAGCTGCAGGCGAGCTGAAACTCACGCGTATACATATAAGTGTAAATAAACTAAAATTTAAAGAAGAAAAAAAGGGACCGGAAGGATGACTTTTCATCCAGAGGACTCAGGTTTGATTCCCAGCACCCGCAAGGTGCTCACAACTATGGCTAGTTCTGGGTCCAGGGATCCGATGCCCTCTTCTCGCCAGCGCGGCTACATAGACATACATACAAACAGAACATTCAGGGGGTGGTGAGTGGCTGGGAGTTCGAGGCCAACTTGAGTTACAGTAACACTGTTTCAAAAATAAATAAATAAACGAAAGAAAGAATGAACGGAGGCCAAAATCAGCAAAAGGCTGCAAGGTGCTAGGTTGAAAGTCGGAGTCCCGAGCCATAGGAGCGCAGGGTACTGACCCGTACCGCAAAGGGATCCCCAGGTCGGGCTGGGAAAACCGAGGCTCGAAGCAACTCCGGCGGACCTCATATCCTCCACCTGCACTGTGTCCTGGAGTCTTCCGCTGCCCCAGTAGTTTCCCCCCTATGTCCCCAGGGCACACGGGTGGGACGGCGGGCGACCTCCTCACCAGTTCTTGGCCAGTTCCCGATAGCGTGGGCCCAGAAACTTGCTCAGCATCGCTGCAGGGTCTAAGCACTCAGGGTCACCCTGTTCCAGCTGTCCTGGAGCGCTGCGCATGTGCGGACCTAGCTCTTCCGGCGGCGGTGCAAGTCGGTTCAGAGACATTGATATCTACTTCCGGGGAGGGCTCGGACATCGCTAGATCCCGCCTCTGTGGGCGGGGTGTCTAGCAAAATGCTAGGGACTCCTTGGTTCTGAGCCTGGACGGGTGACTTCGGGCTAATTTGATTCGGGTACTAATTTGATAACTTTAATAATAAACACCGGTGGTGGCGCACGCTTCTAATCCCAGCTTTGGGGAGGCAGAGGGGGGAGGATCTCTGTGAGTTCGAGGCCAGCCATGGCTACATAGAGAAACGTCTCAAAAGACAACACTCGTTTTTCAGATGGGTGCCTCCTACATCCAGGACTGGCCTCGAACTCCTCATCCTCTTGCCTCCACCTTCTAAGTGTCGGGCCTGTGCCACCAGGCCCGATACAGGCAGGGCCTTCTAGAAGAGCAGGCTAACCACTGAGCCACAGCCCTGCCCTTCACCAATTTAAACCGAAGGAAACAGGCCACGCAGGTAAGGGACTTGTGCAGAGGCGCCACGGGGAAAGGCTTAGATTGGACTGTGCCTTCTAAGACTCTGAGGTACCCTCCACTTGCTCGGGCATTTCTTACAGGCCACCTTGGGTTCCCGTGGTTGGCGCACAGGCAGGCCCTTGTTGGTCACCCTTTCTACCTAAGTTCCTGTCCTGGCTGACCTCCCAAAATGGGCATATCAAAACTTCTCAGTAAGCTCCCTGACCACACGCCAGACTGGCAGGCGGAAGGTGGGAACATCCTCAGATACACATCCCCCAGGAAGCATTTTGAGACTGTCCCACCTGGATGGAGGGACACAGAGGCCCATAAGAAGGTCAGTCCCTTGTCCCTTGGGCCCCACCTTTTAAGTGTGTCTAGTGGTTAGTGACTGGCTCGTGGGTGCCTGGCCTGCTCTGGACTCCTTCCTGGATCCCACAGCTCCCATGGCTCTCCCTGGGGGCTGTGGATTCTATTCTGCCACTGTCCTTAGCCCACAGTGCTGGGATCTCAGGGGTGGGCCTCGCTACAGCTGTGTTAACCCCAGAACGAGGAGGACATAGACATAGGAGGGAAAGGCTCACCGCTGAGCTACTCAGCCTAATAGGTTAAGTTCCCTGGTCAGGCAAAGACCTTGTCTCCAAAACTAAGGTGGGGGCAGGAGAGGAGGCTCAGTGCACCAGCTGCTCCTGCAGAGGACCCAGGTTTGGGTCCCAGCGCCCATGTGCCTGCTGACAACCACTCAGAACTCCAGTGCTGTCTGCACACACATGGTGCACACATGAACAGACAAGCAAAAAAAAAACCATACACTTTAAAACTAAAACAAAAATTAAGTTGGGTAGCCATGCCTTTAATCCTTGTACGCGTCCGGAATTGAGTTCAAGGCTATCCTTGATTACAGAGCATTCCAAAGACCAGAGAGAGAGAGAGAGAGAGAGAGACAGACACTGGGCTGGTTGGTGGTGGTGCACGCCCTTAATCACAGCAGCAGGGAGGCAGAGGCAGGCAATCTACAGAGGGAGTTCCAGGACAGCCTGGGCTGTTATACAGAGGAACCAGGTTCAAAAACAAAAACCCCAAAACCAAACCCAGTAAGGTAGAGGGAGGGGCTCAGTGGTAAGGTGCTTGCCACGCAGTCTGGGAATTTGACTCTTCTAACACTCCACAGCTGTGTAAAGTGACAGCCCTATAACTGCAGTTCAGGGATCCCGACTGTTATGCAGGCCGTCAGGGAACCCAGGGCTCCATGCATGCGCTAGCCGATTACCAACTGAGCCACCTCAGTCCCTCTTCTGCTGTCGTGCAACTGGGCAACAGGACTCGTGGGTGTTTGGGCTGAAGACAGGTTGATTGCCCTGCATACAGCAGAGGGGAACCTGGATGAGCCCTCACTGCCTGCCAGTGACCCAGGCTGTGTTCCCTCCAATCCAGCTGTTCCAGAGGTGCAGAGTCTGCAGGCCAAAGTGGTGGATAAGGTTTACCATAACAAGGTGTTACCATGGTTCCCAACGAATTTTCCTCACTGGAGATTTTTGGGGCTTCCAAAGGGACCAAAGTCAGCATGGAGCAGGTGTGAACTGTTGTAGGGGTACTTGGTAGCCCCAACATCCCCCACCGCAGAGGCTAGGATAGGAAGAAATGACGATGCCAGGATCTGAAAAATGGGTGAAGATACTTTGGAGGGTACCTGCGGCCACTCTGCCGAGATAGGGAAGCCAAAGCCTGCACCATCTGCCCAAGAGCCAGCTGTGGCTGTGTGTATGGCAGCTAAGTATAGGTAGCTTTGTATCTCAACTAACCCTAGTAGCTGGGCCCACCTGTGGGAGATCTCTTGGCTGGACCCTAACCTGGCCACACCTTCTGGTGGCAGTCTGCATAAAAGGCACAGAAGGAATCCTTTGCTCTCTGCCTGCTCACCCTCTCGCTGGCGGGTTCGTCTACCCTGCGGCTGAGGCACTCCTTCCCTGGTGAGAGCCCACTTCTTCAGGATTCCAGGGCAGTCTGAGGACTCCAGCGCTGGATTGGGACTGCTGAGACATCCTGCTTCGGGAGTAGGGCAACCCAGGTCACAGCCCGTAAGCCACACTAATACTCTATCAATTCTGTCCCTTTAGAGACCCCACAACTCATCACCCAAGCATTCAGGGCAGTGAGGAAGGAGTGTGAGCCTTTGAGAAGAGAGGCAGAGACCATGGTTCCGCTGCTGAGCACAGGCCGGGCACAAATAGGTCCTGGGCTCACATGCAGCGGGAACGGGATGACCCTTTGATCAACACTGGGTCTTTTAAATGCTACTTTAATAACCTTGCAGACCATGAACATGACTCTGAGTTCTAGAAACAGCAATAGACAGGAGACTTTTATACAAAAATTTGTTGCTTACAAAACATACGCAAAAGAAAGCTAAAAGAAAAAAGTAATAAGACACAGAAGGCCTCGTTCTTGCTAAGTTTTGTCTACATTAAAAAAAATCTGATAACTAATGTTCTTTTATTCTCCTTTAAAAAAAAAAATACGCTTAGGCACGATGTGCTGGTGGCTCTGAACCAGAACCAGTCCCCGGCTGCCCCTGCCAGGGTGCGGTCCAATCCTTCCTTCGTCCACAGTTAAGGCATCTTTTTTCTTTTCTGAAAAGTGAGCATGCTGCTTTTGTTTCCAGTTTCGGTTAATGGATGGGGGAGAGCTCCCCTCAGCTTGCTTCCTGGGGCCAGGACACAGGGCGGCCATGGAGCCCCGAGGCCCCGCAGCGTCTGTGGAGCCTTGCTGCTGCAGTGATGATCCGGAGCTCTCCGCCACGCCTGGTGCACTTCAGGCAGTGTGGTGGTCCCTGGTCCCACGGAGATCCATGCATTGGCTCACAGGTGCCCGGGTGGGTTGTGAGCCTCACCCAGGCCAGGGTGGGTGGCTGACAGTGCCAGCTGGGGATCCCCGACCACGCCAGACACCTTCTCCTCCTCCCGCCGCTTCAAGCAGGCTGCTTTGGGGTTCAGGTTGCGTTCTGGGGGGAGTGGAGGAGAGCGCAGTGGGAGACTGTCCACAGTTGGGGAAAGGGAGGGTTGGGATTGTGCTGTGGCCACCCCTGGCCAGCAACAAGCCAGGGCAGAGTAGGATGGGGCGGGCGCAGCCTACCTCGCACCTGCTGTTCCAGGCCCAGGATAACCTGCACCGCCTGCTGCAGGATCAGCAGCTTGGTCTGCGCCTTATCCGACTTGAGGTGTAGCTGGCACATGCGGCCCAGCTCCCGGAAGGCCTCGTTAATATCCCGCACGCGCACCCGCTCCCGTGCGTTATTGGCCATGCGCCTCTCCCGGTCCCTCAGGTCCTTCTCCTCCAGGGACAGCACCTCGTCCGTACTGCTGGGTCACAGCACCGAGCCTCCGTCAGGGGGAGGGGGGGGGGCCGCTGCACGCTGTGTGCTAATGTGAGTGACACGGGTGCGGCCAGTGTTGGGGAATGTGCGTGGTAAGGAGTGGTGGCAGCTCTTCAATGTGGTCAACCCCAAAGGGCGTCTGTCTCTGGGAGGCTGGGTGGTCACTCTGGGAAGGAGAGGCCTTACCCTCCCCTAACACATGTGGAGGAAGGTGGGACTTGTCCCTTGCTCATGGCTCTGGGTGACAGGATTCAGGGCTGGGCTGAGGCCTAGAAGGCTCATGGAAAAAACAGCACTCGGGCCTGAGCCCCGCACCCCAGAGCCATGGCCGTCCTAGCTGGGCCAGGAGCAGTGCCCATCTCCACTGTGATGGACACCATGGCAGCAGCTCCAAATGCCCGAGCACAAGGCTGAGACCCTGTCCTGCCTGAGCTGAGCCCACGCCTCAGTCTCCCCCTAGGGGTGCAGACGGCAGTCACCTAGGCTGTGAAGGCCAGCATGTGCCCTTTGCGGCTCATGCCCCTGCTGCCCACGATGGACCATATCCCTCTGGGTGGCAGTAGTGGCCCCAGACCTCAGGACAAGCGCGCAGACCAAACTGCATGTGGGCACAGAGGCTGTGTGCCCAATGAACCCTTTCCTTCCCCTGAGGCCATGCAGGGCCTTATGGGACAAAAGGCCCCAGGTGGCGGTGTGGCCAGTCCTGTCCACAGGGCGGCAGGTGCGAGGTGCAGGGCGGCAGGTGGCAAGCAAAGGCAGGGGACAGCCAGGGCAGAGGGAAGAGCATGAGAGACAGAGCAGATGAGGCGGACTTGTGGGACACAGGGTGGACCACACGCTCTGCCACCACAGACAGAGACCTTGGAACAAGGAGAAAGTGGAGCCGGCTCGGCAGAGCCCACGCTGCAGGAGAGAAAGGGTTAACGGCGGCAGCCAGGGCAGTGCAGGTTAAGGAAGCAGAAGGGGCCAAGCTGAAGTCCTCCCTCACCGGCTCTGGGGCAGGTGGATGGGGAAACTGAGTCAGGGAGAAGATGCTCTCAGAGAGGTGGGTTGGGTCCCTGGCAAAGTGAACAGGGATGGGACCTCTGGGTCCTTGGGGAGTGGGGGTCACTGGCCCCTAATAGCCAGGCTCTGGGATAAGGCCGGGCCAGCAAGCGTCTTGGATGGGACAATTTGAAAGAAGTCCTCAGGCCAGTGGGGCCAGGGTGACGCACTATAGGGAAGGAGCGTTAGGGACAGGGATGGAGGGTGGCCAGTGTGGGGACAGTCAACCCGGATGACTAGCGGAAGGAACCACCTGTGGTGGGGTATTAACGCAGGGACAGAGTCCTGCAGGGGCAGTTGGGGTGGTGCCAGTGAGGGTGAATGGTATTGGGGAGTCAGCATGTGAGAAAACCCATGTGAGGGATCAACAGGCATGGACAGTCAAGGTGTGAGCAAGTCAGGATGAGAACAGTCAGTGTGTGGAGATCAGTCATACGGGGAACAGCTGATGTGGAAAGCACAGTGATGTCAGTGAGGGCAGTGGGGAGTCATCAGTGGGGGGCTCAGTGAGGATGGAGGAGTCGGGAGGATGGAGGAGTCGGGGAGGATGGAGGAGTCGGGGAGGATGGAGGAGTCGGGGAGGATGGAGGAGTCAGGGAGGATGGAGTCAGGGAGGATGGAGGAGTCAGGGAGGATGGAGGAGTCAGGGAGGATGGAGGAGTCGGGGAGGATGGAGGAGTCGGGGAGGATGGAGTCAGGGAGGATGGAGTCAGGGAGGATGGAGGAGTCAGGAAGGATGGAGGAGTCAGGGAGGATGGAGTCAAGGAGGATGGAGTAAGGGAGGATGGAGGAGTCAGGGAGGATGGAAGAGTCAGGAAGGATGGAGTCAGTGAGGATGGAGGAGTCAGTGAGGATGGAGTCAGGGAGGATGGAGTCAGTGAGGATGGAGGAGTCAGGGAGGATGGAGTCAGTGAGGATGGAGGAGTCAGTGAGGATGGAGGAGTCAGGGAGGATGGAGGAGTCAGGGAGGATGGAGGAGTCAGGGAGGATGGAGGAGTCAGGGAGGATGGAGTCAGTCGGTGTGGATGGGGTCAGTTGGTGAGGATGGGGTCAGTGAGTGTGGGGACAGTTGGTGTAAGCTGAGGGCTGGTCGCTGGTGCATGGAGAATCGAGCAGGGACAGTCAGCGCTGGAAGTCAGTACAGAGAACAGCCTGCAGAGAACCCTGTCCGGGACCAGAGGGTGTGCGGGTTGGTTGTGAGGGACAGTCACTGTACTCTGGCTGGGGTAGCAGGGAGGGGAGCATCGCGGAGGCGCAGGGCGCGAGCCGCCCACTGACCTCGCACCTGCTGCTCCAGGCTGAGGATGACGGCCACGGCCTGGTGCAGGATGAGCAGTTTGGTCTGTGGCTTCTCGCTGCTGAGGTGCAGCTGGCACATGCGGCCCAGCTCCTTAAAGGCCTCATTGATGTCGCGGACCCGCAGGCGCTCGCGGGCATTATTGGCCACCCGGCGCTCCTTCTCCCGCTCGGCCTTCTGCTCTGGGGGGAGAAGGTCGTCCTCGTCCTCGTCTGGGCTATGGGGGAGGGGAGCCAGGGGCCAGAGGGAGACAGTGAGGTGACGCGGTGGCCTGCAGGGGCCTCCTGGGGTCTGTGTGCACATGTGATGTATGTGCACGTGTGGCGTGTGATGTGTGCGAGGCCTGAGGGGAGGGGTTTGGCACCTGGTGCGCGTGCGTGGGGCCTTCAGGTCCTTCTTGTCCTCCTCGGCGTCGGCCACTGATGCATTCTCCTCGTCGTCCTTCTCCTCTCGCTTGATCTCACTGACTCCTGCCGTGGCGCCTGCCCTCCCGAGTCCTGCAACAAGCCTGGGATGAGGGGTGGCAGCAGCCACCAAACTCACCTGAGGGGCCCTTTGCCAGGGCGCAGCTGATTTGTGGGGACATAAATAAAGATGGAAATAAAACAAGCCACCAAGACTGCTGCCTCAGGCCAAGGTTAGAGGGGCTCCCTCCCCACTCAAGATCTAGTCTGATACTGAAGCCAGACTAGAATCAAGTCCCACACCACACGCAGCAGTGGAGACAGAGACCCGCACTGTGAACTCCAGAGTGGGACATTTCTGCCCTGTCCTCCACTGTCCGAAAGCTCTCCACAGCCCACTGGGTCCCTTGCATGCTGGCCTGCCGTAGTCTTAGCGGCCTCCTCCACCCCCCTTGCTCTGCCTCCAACCCATCAGGCTCCATCCTGCCCTGGGGCCTTTGCAGTCTTGCTGGAGTCTCCCTCCCTCCGTCAGCTCCTGGACTCAGCAGAACGGTCACCCTAAGACACCATCCCATTTCCCTTCCACTTGCCCTAAACTTTGCCCTGCTGGCCCTAATATACCCTAAAAATGTTACAAGAGAACTGTCCCCATGGCCCTGCTGACACCCACTATGGAAACAACACCTGTCCTAGGCCCTCATCTGAGAAGCAGGCACCCTCCCTGCCAAAGGAATCAGCCTGGCCCTGCTGGGATCCTGGGCCCCACCCTGTGCCTCAGTGTCCCCAGACTGAACCAGACACAATAGTCCCAACCTTGCGAGCAACAATGAGGATCTGGACAATCTTGGCCCCTTGGTGGGTCTGACAGTCTGCGTGTGCACGTGTGTGCATACATGCATGTGCACACACAAGTCACATCTATCAAGTGTCCTGCCCTTGTCACTTAACCCCAAGGTGAGTCTCAATGAACTTGGAGCCCCCCCCATTCCCAGAGATCCTCCTGCCTTCCGCTCCTCAGTGCTGGGTTACAAGGTGCACACTCAGGTGTGAGAACCACCAACTGAACAATGTTTTGAGGCACAGGCTCTCACGAACCTGAGGCTGGCTAACTGCCCAGGGACACACCACTGTGTGTCCAGTTCGGGTCTGCAACTGAATGCTTAAGTTGGACTGAGCCACCCTTCCAGCCTCGAGGGACAGGAATTCTGTCCTTCCCTCGGTGATCAAGCCCAGGACGCTGGGACTCACCACTGTAGGAGTCAGGAGGCCTCTGTGAGAGATCGGGGAGGGAGCTGGGCTGGCTGGGGAGGCTGGCGTGATTATGCAAAAGACTGGCACCACTGTTGAGGCCATCCTCAGGGTGGCCTCCACTGACCAGGCCCGCGTGCCGCCCGCCCAGTGGCATGGGGCCCGCGAAGCTTGTGGTCAGCGCCCCATGGCCAGGCAGAAGTCCATGGAGATCACTAGCGGTGCCCACAGCGTGGCTGCGAAGGACATGGATGGCCTCATCTAAGCGGTCCTCCATCTTGCTCTGCTGTGTGAGTGGGTAGAGAAGGTCCACTGAGCCCCGGCCAGGCAGCAGGCAACTCGTCCCTGCCCCTCCTGAAGCTGCCCCTGCGGCACACTGAGTGACTTCTCCCCCCGGAAGGGCTCCATATTCCAATTCTGTGGTGATGGGATTGACTGGCACTTGATACCTCGCCAGCAGGGAGGGGACACTCACCAGGCCGTGGAGACCCCCGTCGTAGCTGGGAGATAAGGCACTGGGGGCTCCTGCCCGGGGCCACTGTGATGTCCCTGGAGGGGAAGGAAAGCCATGAAGGAACCTAGGCAGTGGGACCCAAGGCTGGATGCACTCAAAGATGCTTGACACTAACCAAAAAAAAATAAATAAATAAATAAAAAAAAGCCGGGCGGTGGTGGCGCACGCCTTTAATCCCAGCACTCGGGAGGCAGAGGCAGGCGGATCTCTGTGAGTTCGAGACCAGCCTGGTCTACAAGAGCTAGTTCCAGGACAGGCTCCAAAACCACAGAGAAACCCTGTCTCGAAAAACCAAAAAAAAATAAAAAATAAAAAAATAAATAAAGATGCTTGACACTGCCACTGCAGACACCGCTCAATCTTTGAACCCCAACTCCTTCCTGCCTGGGGAACATGACCCCTGACCTCAGAGGAGCCAGTCCTGACAAAACAGTTACTCTCTGTCCCTCCACACCTGGATCCACTGCTGTGAACTCAAACAAAGGGCAGGTGGTTAGCTCCAGAGGCGACCAGACAGGCCCAGCTGAGGACAGGAGTGGAACTGTTCTGTAGACCAGGTTGGCCTTGAATTCACAGAGATCCACCTGCCTCTGCCTCCTGAGTGGCTGGATCAAGGCATGCACCACCACACCAGGGAGAGCGTTTTTTTTTTTTTTTTTAAACTCCTACCTCCCAGGACTTCTAGAGGCTCCTGGCTCCCACCTGACCTCACCTAGTTGATGCCCTGCCACCGCCACCACCCACCCCGGCGTGGTGTTCCTCACAAGAGCTGAGCCTGAGGTCAACAACTGGACAAATCACAGGTGGAGGCCCACCTTACCCTCATGCCACCTCTCACTACCTGGCCAGGACTCCAGCCTGGGGACAGCCCTGAGGTCACGCATGGTTCCCGTGCCCATCCCATACACACCTGGCAGGCCCTGGGGTGAACCCACAGGCGTTGAGGGGCTAGGTGAGAAATTATTGCTGGAGTGATCTGGGGAGTAGATCTGCAGTGATGGGGACAGAGGAAGGGGCAGTCAGGACCACCACGAGGCTACCAAAAGTCCCCCTCTGCCACCACCAGTCCAGGCCCCTGCTCACCGAGGCCAGTGCCTTCCCAAGGGCATCCCCTGAGCTGCTGGCTGTAGTCCCTCGGGTACCTGTTGAGAGAGACAGGTAAGTCCTGTTCTGGGAGCCTCCATCCTGCGAATGGTGGGACCCTCCCTCTTATGACACCCACCACCCCCAGTGTCATGTCTTGCCTAATACTGACATCTGTTTCTTCTCTGCCTTGGTTTCCCCCAGTCAAGTGGAAGAGCCATTTGTCATCGAGGCCTGCTCCTAATATTCCAGGGTCAATCTGAGGTGCCTCAAGGAGGGGACCATGTTTTCTAGCTCTGGCCCAGCAAGTGTCTCATCTCCATGGAGCCCTTATGCAGCCTCTTGGCTCCTACCCGGGCCCAGGAAACACTGGGTTTGACCTCACCCATGAGGCTGTCTGCCCCGCTCACAGGAGGCGTATGGCCAGAAGTGCCACCGTAAGTGCCAGGGGCGGCAGAGAAGCTGGACACAGCTGGTAGTGTGCCGTTGACCTCAGATCCATGCAGCTGGTAGCTCTGAAGGGACAATTAGTAGGTGAGGGGCACGGTGATGGTCGAGGAGTGGGGCCAGAGCAGGCAGGTCCCCCGACCACAGCACCTACCATGCGCTCCTGCTGCTGGAGGCCCCCAAAGGCACCGCTGCCCACAGAACTGCTGCCTGGTGCAAGAGGCAGAGGGGATGAGCCATCTCCTAACATGGGCCCAAAGCCTGCTTGGCCGGGGGGACTCCAGAGCTCTGCCGAGGGGTGCAGGCTGCTGTCTGTGTGGAGGAGGAGGATGAGCCTAGGGACCCAGCCCTGCAGAGCATCCCCCCGCCCTCGGGAGCCCCACACACCTGCCACATAGAAGGGGGAAGGGTAGGTGCTGCTGGGGGTCTTGGCAGAGGGGTAGGCTATAGCATCCCTGCTGAAGCTGTCACCTGAGCTGGGTGGATACACCTGCAGAAGGAGGGCAATATTGGAGAAGGGTGTGGAGCCATCTCCCCCCGCCGTACCCTCCAAAATGTCCCCTCCAAGCTCAGCTCTTGTCTAGCATGAGCCAGTGCTGGAAGTCTCCCTGTTCCTCTGGGAACATAGGACCCCTGCTCTCAGAAGCAAAATCCCACCTACCATACCAGCATCAACCCTGACCAGCTGGCAACAGCTGGAACTCTGACAGCTTGAAGAAATGGGGTGTGGGCAGGGGGAGGGGGGATCCTGCCACCAGTGTCTGCCCTGGGACAGGACTCAGGAGGGGATCGGTTGCTCATGCCTGCCCTGGCACAGGACTCAGAAGGGGATCAGTTGCTCATGGCTGCCATGACACAGGACTCGGGAGGAACCAGCTGTTCATGTCTGCCCTGGCATAGGATTCAGGAGGGATCAGCTGTTCATGCCTGCCCTGGCACGGGAGCAGGCAGCAAGTCTAAGCTGGCTGCTGGGTTAACTTCCACCTAGCTTAACTGCGTTTTATTGGTCATAGTCTCTGATCTTAGTTCTGCTCCCCCAATATGTGTGTTTCTAGGGAGCCCTGACCTATGCCCTCCACCACTGCTGGCCCCAGTACTGACATCAAAGGAAGCTGCGGGGTTCTGGGTACACAGAGGAAGCAGGGGCCTGAGGCATTAGTATACAAAGTGCACTGTGTAGCACAGGCCAGCCTACAATTTGTGACCTTGGGAGAGGCGGCCAGGCTGAAGAATCCAGCACACCGCCTTTCTTAAGGTGATTAAATCATAGGCACATAGCACCGTGAACCACCAAGGGCTAACAGCCATCTGCCAGGGTGGACAACCAGCCAAACACCAAGCCGGTGGGTGGGAACACTTCCAGCCTTGGCAGGTGGGTGTGGCTGGGAACAGGGGGGACATGGAGGGACCAGCTCACAGGGATCCCCCATCACCTCCCCCGACCCTACTGTTAGAGGTTACAGGCAGAAAACCACTCCTAAGCTAGAGGGAATGAGGCCCGAGGAAGGACTTCCTTGGGGAACAGACGCTTGCTCAGTCCATACATGCCAACCCTCTGGTGACCCATGGGATGTGGCCACAGATTCTGGCACGGAGAATCCACCATACACGGTGACTATAGGCTCCAGGCCTGCCCATACTCACAGAGGAGGGAAGACCAGGCGGGACCTTCCGGACCTTCTTAGGCTGCGTATCTGCAGGGAGCAAGAACAGAGGACACACTCCCCACATGTCCTTCTGTGGACACTACTAGGCTGGGGTCAGGACCCAGGAGCGCACACTTCCAACATTTTTTCTTTTACTGTTTGTACTGCACTATATATTTTCTTCGCTCTCCCCTTCTACCCTCTCCCATGACCCCCATACTCCTAATCTACACAGGAAATCATGTCTTCTCTTTTCTATGTAGATCCATGTATGTCTCTCTCAGACTCATAACACAGCCATAAAAACCTGGCGGCGGTGGCGCACACCTTTAATCCTAGCTCTCTGGAGGCAGAGACAGGCAGATCTCTGAGTTTGAGGCCAACCTGGTCTACAGAATGAGTTCCAGGTTAGCCAGGGCTATACCAAGAAACCCTGTTTCAGAAAACAAATCTAAAAACCCAGAGTCCCACCCACTGGGACTAAGATACAAGAAAACACGGGGGGGGGGGGGGGGGGCTGTACAGAGACACCAGCATGCCCTGTGGGTGCAAATCAAAGCACCCACTGTGAAGCCCTCTGTGGCCGCCGAGGCTCAGTGGCACCCAGCCCAGGCGTCAGCCTATCACACTGCCCCTTACACATGCACGTCCCCAGCTCCAACTCACCCAGGCCACCGTCTGCAGCTCTCCGCCGAGGGTTGCTGGGGTATGAGGGGTAATACTGGGAGCCGCTCTTGACACCAGATGGAGACAGTGGTCCAGGGTTGCCGAGGCCCAGCTCGCCTGGCAGGAAGGCAGCCTGAGGGGGGATGAGCAACCAGGAAGCTGGGGCTGATGTCTAGACCCAGGCCTGATCCCCACCTGAAGACCCTCCCAGCTGTGAAGATCAATGCTACATGGGCAAGGCCAGCCCCCAGGTTTCGCAAATACACAGCACCCATGAAGTGCCCTCTCCTTACCCATCATGCCATCTCACGGCCACCTCTCGCCAGGGGCACAGGGGCCCGCGCTGGGGTATGAATCCCGCTGACAGTGGCCTCGTGTAAGCAGCCAAGTTGGGGCACGAGAACCATACCCCGTACAATGCCAACTGTGCTCCTCACATGGGTTAGGGCTACTGAGCGGCTTGGGGACTGGAGAGGTGACGTGAACATGGCCATGGTTGGTGCACAGCCTGGTTCTGGTTGCTGCTTAACAACTGCAGCTCCCCCAGCACAGTCTCAACTCCAAGGGTCACCTTGGAGATCAGGCCAGGATAGCCCTTCTGCCTCAGTTTACCTGACTCAGTGCTCCAACACTGGTTTCTCTCCCGAAGGTGGCATAGGTGCTCCGTTCACTGCCCTTGCCTGCAAGGGATAGAAGGAAGTCACGAGAGATCCCAGGAGGGTCCCCCAGACAGTGGGGAGTTGTACATGGTGGGTCTCTGGCAGGGCCCTGTCTGGACAGCCCAGCTGCCCAGTCCCCTTAGATACAGGAGAGAGGACAAGGGGAACCGAGCAATGTCGGGGCCGACTATCTACAAACTTCTCTGTTCTTTTTTTCTTTGTGTAAGATGGGTTGAGGGTTTTGACTGCATGTATGTCTGTATGTCTGTGCACCATGCATGTGCCTGGAAGAGGGGTTCCTTGGGATTGGAAGATTCCTTGGACTGGAGTTATGGTTGCTGTGTGCCACCACACGGGTACCTGGACTGAGCCCAGGTCCTCTGTAAGAGCAACAAGCACTCTTAACTGCTGAGCCATCTCTCCAGCCCTGATTGACTTCCTAATCATCCTGCTTCAGCCTCCTGAGTGGTTGGATTCTGAGGGCTGCTGACCCTGCCAGCACTCAGTGCTCCCAGGGTCCACCCTGGGGGGAGAGGGAGATGACACAGGATGGGTTGGAACAGACACAGCTGGCCTCTGTGGGAACTGCCCTCTGGCCCTGCCATCCTGTCAGGCAGGACACCCGAGGAAGAGGCAGGAGAAGGAAGCCCAAAAGGGAACATGCACCCCACAACTGCAGAGGCCACGTTGGGCCATGGTGGAAGGAGCTGGGGTCAGGGGTCAGTGCTGACCAATTCTGATTCTAGAAACATCCCACTCTTGAGTTAAACCTTCACGGTTTTTCAGGCCTCCTGACCCACTGCCCAGTGATTGTTCTCAGTAGCCCCCCAGGAAACAGGCAAGGCTAACTCTCAAGCGGGGCAGAAGCCAGGGCTGTGACTGCACCCCACTGTGCACAGAGTGGCCACACTCACCTCCAAGCCCAGCTCCTAGGAACGTGGAAGAAGGTATGCTGCTGTGTGATTCACTGAAGTGGGCACCTTCACTGTAAGTCTAGGGGAGACAGGCAGAATGGGGAGTGCGGGTGAGACAGCTGTCCCAGAGGGAAGGGAAACCGGGGACCTGGGCCTTGCAAAGGTGTCTCACCCGGCTGGGGTCGAAGGAAGAGCTGTTCTGGTCACTGCTGCCCCAGGAGCCTGAGCTGGGACGGTCCTCAAGCCCTGTAGGAGGCAAAGGGAAGCCTAGCCCAGTTCTCAGGGGACTCAGAAGGCTTAGGGTCCCCGCCCCCCGATATGCCTAACAGCAATGAGCTCAGCTGCCTCCATCCTGCGCAGCCTGGGACCCATCTGTCAAAACCTCAGCTACTGTGCCGACTCAATCCCATGGCCAGGGCTCTTGTTCAGGTCTGTGTGTGATCGTGCAGGACTGGGCATCTGAGTCAGAGAGGTTGTCAAAAGTGCAGAGAAGCAGGGTCTCCCTGGCAGGGGCTCCGCCTGGGAGCCGACTAGCTCAGTGGGAAAAGGCAGACACTGTCAGACAGGGACAGTGGCACACCTGGCTCGGGCTCTGCAGCCTCATAGGGTTTATGGGTCAAGGGTTTATGTGGTAAGACAGGGGTTAACGAGCCTGGAGCCCAGAGGACCTTGTCCTGAGGGGCGGAGTAAACCAGGGCTGGGCCCTTATCTTCCCCAACACCTCAGGAGCAGCTTACACCTCTCCACCCACAGCAAACTCTCCTTCCTGACCCCTAGGCTATCCCCCCACACACAGGGACCACAGGGTCCAGCCTTTATTCCACCCAACTTGGCCACATGGTCACACAGTGTGCCTCAGTTTCCCTATCGTGAAACTGGATGGACAGGCAGAGGAGGACTGAAGTGTCCACATCCACATTCTGGGCTGGGGGTCCTCCTGGGCCTCCCCCCCCACCGCGTACCCCATGAGCCCCCAATGCCGCCCAGGCTCTCTACCAGGAACTCTCAAACCCTAGAGACTTTATTATGAGCCTCTGTGCTCATCATCCCCTCCCTGGAGAATCGGGTTTAATTGTGGTTAATTTGCATAATTATGCATATTAATCTCTCCACCTCATGAATATTCACCTCTCATTACACCTTCTTGTTTCCTGGTAAAGTTTCAGTGTGCAGGGAATGGGGGGCTGGGATACAGCCTCGGGGGCTACAGGAACTACCACTAGCATCAGGTGCAGTCTGGGGTTGTCTACACCCCAAAATTTTTCACTGTCCCGGTGAGGCTGGGGTGGATGGGCAGCCAGCACCCACATTGTTGTGATCCCACCAATCCTTATTCAACATAAACCCCAGGGTCATACAGGATGTTCTGGAAGCCCAGACCCAGCCTGGGTGACCCCTGAACTCAGCATACAATTGTCCCATCCCAGAACTTGGCAATGTTAAAGATCCCCCGAGAACCCAAGACCTTCCAGCACAAGCCTTGTCTCTTCCCTCTGGAAACGACAAAACTCGGGAGCCCTTCCCCCACCCCATTAATAGTTATTAAAATCACCCCAGCTGATAAATTATGCATCTTAATAACTATCATGAATATTCATACACACTAATTAAAACATTCTAACGGAAGATGCTGATGTCAGGTGTGCTCCACAGAGCACCAGGAAATGGCTGCCTCCATCCAGAGTCGGGCTCAGTGACACCCAGACAACTCAGAAGAAGGCCCATATTTAGAGTTCTATTCTTCTGAAGCACTGTTGGCACTCTGGCTCCCGACTTGCTTTTATAAATAAAGTTTTCTGGCACACGGCTCTTCTGGTCACGTGCTGTCTGTCTACAACTGTATTCATGACAAGGCTTTCGTTATGAGGCCCATCGTGGAGACGATCACCTGCCCTGGTGTACGGTACAGTGGAACTCACCCATCGCCACCGTTTCTTCCTCACTTCCACAGTCCACTCAACAGGGACGATGCCCAAGCAAGCACGACAAAGGAACCTGCCTTCCCTCCTACTACCTCCACTCACAACGCCAGAAGACAAAGCCACGAGAGCAGAAGCAAGTTTGAGACAAGCCTGGTCTTTATAACACATCTCAAGAGACCCAAAACGAGGGCTGGAGAGATGGCTCGGTGGTTCCAGAGGTCCTGAGTTCACTTCCCTAGGCCTCTGGCTTCTCGCTTCCCAGGGTACCGCACTCGAATATACATGTGCACACTCGTACATCATTGGAAAATAGTGAAAGTAAACAAAATACAAAAAAGAAAATATATGGCTGCATGAATAATATGGTCATGATATATACTCAAAAAAAAAACTCAATAGAGAATGTCTGCGAATTTTAGGCGGAGTTCCACCCCCACCAATGGCTCCAGCCCCTCACTGGGGATTCTAGGCGGGGCTCCACCCCCACCAATGGCTCCAGCTCCTCACTGGGGATTTTAAACGGGGCTCCACCCTGACCACGCCCCCAGCCCCTCACTGGGGGATTCTAGGCGGGGCTCCACCCTGACCACGCCCACAGGCTCTCAAAGTCAAGACTCAGGCAGAGGGCAGACTAGGCAGTTTGTGTCTGCCTAGCATGTTTGAGGTCCTGGACTCCATCCTAACACACCTCCCCCATCAAATCGAAATGACCAGTGAACACATGAATCCGAAACTACTAAAGTCCGGCAGAGAAAGATAAGAACTTTTCAAAGAGGAATTAAGATGAAAGTAGAAAGGAGTCGATGGCAAATATCGATTCTTCTCCAAGGAAAAAGATTCCACAGCAAGATCAATACAACAGACCAGGAGACAGTCAAGGACAAAGGGACAGAGGTGGGAAAGCAACTTTACAGGCAGCTATGGAACATTGGAAACGGGGTGGGGACAGATGGCTCTGTTTTGAGGAGTGGGGCTCACACAGCCAAGCTGGCCTGAACTCACAAACCTCCCTGCCCCCTTCTGAGTGCTGGGATGACAGGCTCCCACTCCCACATTCTTCTCCTGAGTGGGAGTGGCTGATCTTTGAGGGACTGGCTGGCCCACTGACCAGGCTGTCTCAGAGGACACAGAGGTGCGTTTCACAAACACGAGGACTTGAGTTCGAGTCCCAGAACCCACCTAAAAAGCCAGGCATGATGCTTACTAGTACTGGAGAGGTAGAGACAGGAAGATCCCTTGAGCCCAGGGGCCAGCCAGCTTGGCTGGATAGGAGAGCATCAGTTGTAGAGACCCTGTTTCAGTAAACACAGTGGAGCTGAGCGGTGGTGGTGCACACCTTTAATCCCAGCATCCAGGGCAGTGCAGGTGGGTCTCTGAGTTCGAAGTCAGTCTAACTTACAGAGAAACCCTGTCTCAACAACAACAACAACAAAAACCCAACAAGAAAAGCAAGGAGGAAGGCAGGTTGAATAGCCACAGAGAGCCCCCAGCCACCAGGAAGCTGTGCCCCCTTCACGGCCTCTGCTTCGGCTCCCGCCTCCAGGTTCCTGCCCCTCATGATGTAGAGGTATGAGCCACACAAAACACTGTCCTCCCCACGCTGGTTTTGGTCACTGTATTTGCCATGGTGACAGTAAGCGTCCTAGGATTCTCTAAGACCCAATACACAGGTCAGCCATTGCGGTTTGAGACAGGGTTTCTCAGTGTAGCCCTGGCTGTCCTCAAACTCTGTAGACCAGATTGGTCTTGAACTCAAGAGATCCTCCTGCCCCTGCCCCTGGAGTGTTGGGATTACAGGCATTGGCCACCACCTTGGCAGACCCAGTCTTATGTGGGACCAACACAGCACAGGACAGCTCTGGAAACACCAGTGAACACCACAGGTTGGGAAGGAAGGCTGCTGTGGGATACTTTTGCACTGCTTGAAGATGTGTTGCTCTGATTGGTGTCATAAAAAACTGAACGGCCAATAGCTAAGCAGGAAGTAGAGGAGGGACTTCCGGGGAGAGAAAGCAGAGGAATGTAGGCCACAGAAGCCATAGAGGAAACAGGAAGAACAAGATGGAAGAGGGTAACAGCATGTGCTAGAACAAGCCTAGGCTATCAGCCAGGCTTTCATAATTAGTTAAGTCTCCCTGTTATTGTTTGAGAGCTGGCTGGCAGGACAGAGACTCACAAGCCCAAGCTGGCCTTCCATTTGTTATCTAGCAGAGAATGACCTGAACTGCTCATCCCCCTCCCTCCTTCACCTAGTGCTGGGGTTGTCCCACCATGGCTGGCAGCAACCGAATTCTAGCCCTCCACTTGGAGACTCCTGATCCAGTCCCCAGAAGCAAATAAAACAGAATAAACCCACTGGGCCATATGACAGCACTGAGCTTGCAGAGGCCCCAGGTTCAGCTCCCAGCACCCACTGCAGCCGTCTGCAACTCCAGACCCTGGGGACCTGACACCCTCTTCTGGCCACGAGAGGTACCAGGCACAGACATGAGGTACAGATACACATGCAGGCAAAGCACCCACGTTGCAGCCTCCTGATCATCACCACGGGGTAACCACTGCCTCAATGCTCTGCACCCGGGAGGACCCAGAACTCCAAGAACACCCCCTGAAGTCACCCTGTAACACACAGTGCTTTAGAAACGATAGTAGAGTTTTTTCTAAAGCATTGGTGGATTTTTGTTTTTATGACAGGACCTCACTACATTCCCTGGAAACCTGGAGTTCCCTGTGCAGACCAGGCTGGCCTCTGCTTCCTGAGTGGTGAGATTCAAGGTGTGCACCTCCACACCTGGCCAGGCAGTAATAAAGGGAGGGATGTGTCCTGAGCGCCTCGAGGCACGTTTCAAGAGGACTCCATCCATGCAGCAGAGGTGGGGTCGGGGATGTGAGAGAGAGAGAGATTAGAAGCTGAGCCCCTTCCTATGCAAAGAGCATCTGCAAGCCAACATGTATCACACAGGTTCCTACGTGAAAAGACACTGCAAGTCAGCATTGCTTGTGAAGAGTAATTCCAAAAGGAAACACTACCAAGAAAAAGGAAACTCATCAAACAGGCGGGCTCAAGCCATGGAAGGAACTCACCACGAGACTGACAGGTCTGTGATCCTTAGCTGCCACCCATCCTGTACCGACAGTGCTGGGGACCTGCCGTATGCACCCCATCCCCCTGTATGTACCTCAATCTTCAAGAATAGGGCAAACACCCTTCCTGCAGCCCAGAATGATAGAAGTGCTGTCCCCTCAAATGGCCCATGTGGTCTCTATCCCCTGTGGACGTTGGGCTCTAGGCCACACAATTGTGTCCCCAGGACAGAGAGGTCACATGCCAGGCTTCTCAGGGCCTGAACGTAAGCCTGGTCCCCGAGGGTCCAAGGGCATATGAGTGGGAGCAGGTCTGGAGCTTAGAGGGCTGCACGGGAACCATGGAAACCAGAGGGTGGTATCTTCAAGGTCCCATCCTGCTGAGCCTGCCTGCCAGTGAGATCCGCGTCAGTTGTGCCCTCCAGGCCCCAGAGCAGGCCTTTGTGCAACCAGGGAAAAAGGGTCTGGAGAGCCGTGCTGCCAAGAGGGCAGCCCATCCCACCCTAACAATAGCTGCCAACCTGACCTTACCCCCCCCCCATCGTGGCCGGAAGCCTGGGCACTGAGGACTGGGGGCTGCTTCCGGGGTGACGGGAGCCTGTGGGGATTTCCAGGCCTTCAGGAGTGCCCAGATGGCCTTCCATCCACTTCCTCAGGCTGAGGGGAAGACCAAGACTGATGGCCTTGCTTTTGGGAGGGGTAAGCAAGAACCACCCATACCACCTTCCCAGATGTATCCCTCCACATGGCCCAGAAGGACCCTTGCTTAGCAAAAGCCAGCCAGCTGGGATCTGAGACCTCACAAGTCCTGGGTCCTAGGAAGCCCCCAGCCCCTGCCGTCCCTGCTAACCAGGTTCGGCCATGTACATATCAAGCACCTAATATATGTCCAAAAGGCAATTACTTGGGGAGGCCAGGCCGCACTGTGGGCCTAGAGGCCTAGGCTCCAGTCAGCCCAACCCAACGGGCTCTATAACAACCACACTCTGGCGGGGCACGTGTGAGGAAATGCCACTGTCCACAGGCCGACCCACAGACGATGCGCCCCTCTGTCCTACCTGAGCCTGCAAACTGGGATCCGGCCAGGGAGGCAGGCCGGCCCTTCCCGTTGGCCACAGGCAGTGGAAACATCTGTGGGGACAGAGGAGAACAGTGAGTGGCGGAGCAGAACTTGGAGCTCTGGGGACGGGGGACTCTGTGGCAGGAGACCGCAGCCAACTCTGAAGCTGAAAGAACACTAGGCTAAAGGGGAGGGATGGGGTCCCACTTGCTAGAGGGTATGACTTACAATTTGTTTTTGTGGGAGCCCAATCCTGGATGTCATTTCTTGGGAGGGTTTCTCTGTATAGCCCTGACTAGCCTGGAAATTGCTGTGTAGCCAAGGCTGGCCTCGAACTCACAGGGATCCACCTGCCTCTGCCTCCTGATTGAGTACTGGGGTTAAAAAGTGTAGGGCCGCCGGGCGGTGGTGGCGCACGCCTTTAATCCCAGCACTCGGGAGGCAGAGGCAGGCAGATTTCTGTGAGTTCGAGGCCAGCCTGGTCTACAAAGGGAGTTCCAGGACAGGCTCCAAAAGGTACAGAGAAACCCTGTCTCGGAAAAAAAAAAAGTGTAGGGCCATCTTGTTGTCTTTGTTTTTGATTCTTTTTTTTTTTTTTTGGTTTTTCAAGACAGGGTTTCTCTGTAGCTTTTTAGACTGTCCTGAAACTCACTCTGTAGTACAGGCTGGCCTTGAGTTTATGACCCTCCTGCTTCAGCTTCAAGAGCGCTGGATGACAGGGTTATGCCAGCGCCTGAACCATCTACTCTAGGTCACGTGTTTCTTCCCACCCCAGCATGACTGCAACAGGCTTCTGTTCAGCAGGGTGGCCAGGCAAGAGTCCCCAAACACCATGGCAGCCCCCCACTTAAGACACACACTGCCAGGAAGTGTGGCCCAGCCCCTACTAAGGGGAAACTGAGGTTGTCCCCCCAGCACTTGGGAAGCAGAGACAGGAGAAAAGGTCATCCGTGGCTACATAGGGAGTTAGAAGACACATTAGACCTTGTCTCAAACAAAAAGGGAGAGGGAACTGGGGCAGTAGGTGGCAGAACTGGTCATGTGCGTGAGGGTCTTGGAGGGAGCCTCTTACTCGCAGGATCCTGACCCCTCCCAGCTCTTCCATGCCCAGAGTGCTCAGTCTCTACATATTAAAGGCTCCAAGGCACAGACAGCCAACCCCCAACTTGTGTGGGGCCCAAGAGACAGGAGTGGTGAGAAGGTCCAGGCTACCCACACCATCCTCTATACCTTCCCTAGACAACGAGGCACTGACAGTGCAGCCCCACAGCCGGCAGGCGCAGGGGCCACCATCCCTACCCCCACCACACAAGGAGCGTGGCTCTGTTTGGGGCCAGCACAAGCTGCAGGGTAAGATTCTGTCTCAGAACACCTAAGAGGAGCAAGGCAGAGGGACAGCTCAGCGGTTAACACACTGGCTGCTCTTCCAGAGGACCTGAGTTTGGTTCCCATCACCCACATGGTGGCTCACAAGCATCTGTCTCCAGTTCCCTGCTCTTCTGACCCGAGCGCAAAGGGCACAAATGGGATACACAGACACACACACACGTGAGAAAAGTTAAGAATGAAGGACAAGGTGGCACATGCCTCGTCTTCCCAACACTTGGATGCTACATGAGATCCCAGCTCAAAAACAAAGCCTTCCAAACAGGAACCTACCACCCAACACGGCCACACGAGGCCTTGTTACAAGAGGTGACTCCTGCCTGGTGACTCCTACCTTCTTCCGTCTCAGTTTCTCCTCTGTGCCTCAGGATGCTCTCTGACCTACATCAGGGGAAACCCTGGGTCCTTTGGACTAAAGAGGAGGTGGCCCGGAGGCTTGGGGTGTTCCCTTGGGTCCAACAGAGCTGAGCTGCACCCCCAAGCTGGTGTGTTCCGGGCCACTAGGCCGTGACCTGTCAGTTTAACAATAACAAAAAAGAAAAAAAGAAAAAAAACAAGCAGACCGGGCCTCTGCCTACTCAGCCAGGGAGGCAAAAATAAGATGGACCTTAAAAATATCGGCAGGGCCTTCCGGAGCCTTGGGGGCTCCGTACCCAGGGCTGCATTTCCGCAGGCCTGCTGCCTGGTGCTGTTTCGGTATGGGCACGCTTGTTTTTGGCATAATTCTGCGGCCTGGGTGCCTTGTGGGGAGGAGCAGGGGAATTCAGGCCGGAAGTTGGCCAAGGAGCTTTCAGGGCACAGTGGTGCTCCTGGGGGTGGGGCTGAGAGCAAGACTCCACAAGATCAGAAAATGATGCTGGGTCCTGAAGCCCAGGCCCAGTGTCCCACAAGGTGCCTGCCGCACATACGGTTGAGCTAGGGGCCTAGTTGTGGGGATGCCCACCAGCTCATTCCTGGGTGTCTCTGTGCTCTGACTTCTGCCAGCCAGCAATTTCTCTGGGCATTCACACAGCTGGAAAGAAAGGACTTCCACAGAATGGGCAAGAACTGCCCGCCTCTCCCCAACCACGGCTGATGATGACATGCTAACGGAACAGGGTGTCTCTGAGGTCCCCAGCATTGGTCAGCACAGCCTGGGACCACATTCTCGCCATTTCTAACTCTGATGGTCACTTCCTGACTATGGTCAAGGCCACCAGCCCCCCACAGCCACACTGGGCTCCTGCAATGAGCAAGGCAGAGGAGAGGCTGGAGACCTCCTCCCTGGGCTCAGTTCCCCCATTTGAAGTGGTAGGTGGGTCCATTTCTTTTGTGGGTGTCACCATGCCTGTTGGGGGGTCCCAATCCTTCATTCCCACTTTTGGGAGCTGGGGGCCCCATGCCGACTGGCACACACCCCTCCCCCTTTGGCAGTACTCTCCAGCCTGGGAGCAGAGGAAGGCATTAGGGGGCAGCTCACCATGCTGAAGTCCAGGAGATCACTGAGCTCTTTGTCGGAGCCCACAGGTGCCATTCTCTGAGACTGGTTCATTGTCCGGCCAGGGCCACAGGCGTGGGAATTGGGGTGGGTTCCCCAGGCCTAGAAACAGCCCTGTGTGGTGACACCAGAGACAGGTGGGGAGAGAGGTATGAGACCGTGGACAAGTAGGGACTACAGGCAAGGGCTGAGGGGGTCAATGGGGCCCGGGAGGGAGGCAGCAGGCAATCTGGATTTTGGGGGATCCCCTGCAGAACCTTCAACAATAGAGGGGGTACATATAAGAACTATCTCCACTCCCAGAAGTTCATCAGAGCATGATGTTTCACATCTTAAAACGGTGTTGGGGGGCTGGGAACACTCCTATCAACTCCCCTGGGGTCCATGGGCCCCATCAAGGAGGGGAGAAAGGCCTGGGCCCTGTCTCCTCCATAAATTTGGTGGCACCTTCTCATTCAGCAGCTGTTACAGAACACTCAAAACCCGTCACCCCCAAATTCAAAGCAAAACTTCAAGACTTCACTGGTGGAACAGATGGATGTTTTGCCTGGGACCCACAAATTCTCCCTCACCCCCAAAACCTAAACTCGTTCAGAAAAGTTAAAAGACAAAACCAAGCCAAATAGTCTGTCTCACTGTCAGGACGTATCTGGGAATTATTCAGAACAAAGTCTGAAAACACTCTTTTACCAACATCACCCTGGGGGCAGGGGGTGCCAAGAACTGTGATTCCCCTTTAGGTACGGGTGCTCTGTTCCACCAGCAGGGGTGGGAGTATCCACCTGCCAGGCCACATCCCATAACAGCCCAGGGAGGAGAGGAAAGCCCAGTAGCTCACCACACATTAAAGAAATTAACTTTTTCCCAGGGTTCCCCAGAAAGGAGAGAAGGCAGGGATGACCCGAGAAACCACAAGGTGGATGGAGAAGGAGGTTCTGGGGCTGAGGAGGACCCGAGTCCAGAAGTTCAAGGACCCTAACTCTTCCGTTTGCCAACTCAGACAGGGGCACATGAAACAGCGTGGAGTACCCCTTCCCCCGCTGTTTCTTTTCTTTTTCTTTTTTATCCTTTTTGGAGGACTGTGAAACTAACCTTTTTTTTCTTCTAAGTTGTACGAAACCACACTTTTTTTTTGTGGGGTACTTGAAACCGATTTTTCTAGGTAACCCCAGGGGGAGAGGTACCACAAACACTGTGGGGAGGGTGGAGTGAGACTACCTGAGACTTCTTGGATTGTTAAGAGGGAAGAATGGGGGACAACCCTCCCTTCCCTCCCTCCCCCACTCCAGCAGCGAGGGAGGGAGGGAGGGAGGCTGGAAGCTCTCTGAGAAGGCAGGCCACCAGTGTGTTCCAAACCCAGGCTGTGCCGCGCCCCACATTAACACAGAGCAGATGTTCCCAAGTTGGGGTCCCCATGTCTCCCCACCTTCTCTGTACCCAGGGGTCCCTTTTTTGTAGCAGACAAAAGGACCTGTTCTTTTTTACCTCAGAACTCTAGCTTGAATCAGGGGGCCCATTTCTGAGTGTGTATTGGGGGGAGAGGTGTCTCCTAAGGTCCCCAGGAGTTGGGGAACCCCTAGCTAACGAAGTGATTATCCTTGCTCTTCCTTCCAAACTTTCAACTCAAATTCAGGGTTGGGGGGCCTCCCTGGCAGAGGGTGGGTGGGAAAGGGACACCTCCCTCAAAATCCCCAAGAGTTAGAGAACCCTAGTTTGTGGAGTGGGGGGGGGATAAACCTCACTCCTCCAAACTCCAGTCAGGATTAAAAGATATGTTTTCAAATGATGGGGTAGAGGTCGGCGGTAAGGGGATACCTCCCCTAAGATACCCACGAGTTGGGGCACCCCTAAGCTTGGAATAAGGAGATGGTCCTTTCCCTCCCCTCCTAACTCCAGTTCCGATCGGGGCACCCCTTTTTGAGGGTGGAGGTTGAGGGTAGGTGGTAAGGAAACACCGCTCCCAAACTCCCCATGAGTTAGCGAACCCCTATCTGATGAAGTTGGGTGACCGTTCGAAGAGAACCGTCACAAAAGAGGCCTGGGCAAAGTTTGCTCCCAAGTACGCGCGTCCCCTCCACGTCGCCCCCTCTCCAGGCGCGCAAAGTTGAAGGCAGAGAACAATGCGCCGCTGGGCCCTGGGCCCTGTGTAAGGGGGACGCGTGCAACTCTCCCCCGGGGGCTCACCCCATCCCCAGCTTCCCCGCGGACCCGACAGAGACCCGGAGGCAACTTTTTCTTTCCATGCACTAAGCAGAGAAGGGGGGGTCCCCACCATGAGCGCGTCCCCGTGCGCCCCACGCGCGCGCCCGGGGCCCCTCCGCGTGCGCTCACCTGCTGGGTGGGGGCATGCACCGGGTGCACCGGGCTCCCTGCTGCCCACCGCCCTCGGGGACCCCGGGGACAAAAGGGTGGCGGGCGCGTCCCCGAGGGTCGCGCGTGGGCGGCGGGAGCGCGCAGGGCTCGGGGGCGCGCGTCCTTCCTCCTCCTCCTTCTCCCCACTCGCGTTCGCGTCGCCTGGCCTCTCTCGAGCTTCTCGCAGACCAGGCCCCGCGGGAAGGGACCGTAGCAGAGGCGGCGGCGCGCGGCGGTGGCCCGCGGTGGCCCGCTACGCCCGCAGCCGCCGGCGCAGCCTCATCTTCCTGCGGCGGGAGACATGTTCCGCCCCCCCACCCCGCCCCGCGCCGCGGAAGCCACGCCCTCTAGAAGCCACGCCCCCACCATCCGAAAGCCACCTCCCCCGAGTCGCCGCAGCCGCGCCCCGACCGGATGCACGCCACGGATCCCTCCACTACCTCTTGAGGCGACACTAATATACACCACCTCACAACAGTCCACTGTCAAAACACTCACAGAGATTACCATGACACCCAGAATCAACCAGTATCTAATACTAAAGTGTTTCCGGCGGAGGTATTATCTACCAGACCGCGGTAAAGCCTCAGGGACTATCTTCCTACGCGGTGGAATACAGACACTGAGCAAAGCGTCATGACGCAAGCGGGAAGAACCATGAGATTGCACGAAAAGGCCCATCACAGGTAGCCAATGGACAGACGGGAAGCTTTGATTGGCAGCGGCTTTCACCATTCATCATGAACCCCCGGCTGCATTCCCGCCCCCCACGGCAGAGGCGGGATTCTCAGAGAGAGAGAGAGAGTCCGCGAGACGCTCTCTCGAGGGGAAGGCGGTGGAAGGGCGGAGGTTGGAATTTATTTTCTGGTTGGTATGCCCGCCGGCACCGCCACTTCGAGTGGGTTCTATTTGCGTTTCTAGGGTCGACCCTGGGTCTTATGTGTTGCGAGCGGGTATATCAAAGTCGGGAGGGGATATCAGATCCTTAATGAGAGGTTAGGAAACTATGGGTCATTCTGTTTCCTGCTGAGGGACCCCCACGTGGATCAGCTTTTCCTTCTCTTGAAAACAGATGTTCCGGGATATGTATAATAAAAAATGCTGGCCGTGGTGGCGCAAGCATTTAATCCCAGCACTTGGGAGGCAGAGGCAGGCGGATCTCTGAAGTTGAGGCTTCCGGGACAGCCAGGGCTAGGCAGAGAAACCCTCTCTCGGAAAGCAAAACAAAAATTTTTAAATGAAAATAAATAATGAAGCAAGGTGTTGTGGCACACGCCTTTAATCCTAGCTCTCTGGAGGGGAGGCTTAGGCAGGCGGGTCTCTGAGTCTGAGGGCAGCTATAGTTGCAGACCAATTAGAGCTCTACAAGAAGTAATGAGTGAATAAACACTTTCCACCTCCCCTAAGGGCTCTAGAGAGAAATGTCCCTCTGTCCCTCCTCCCTAGCCTCTGCTCTGGCTGTGCCCCATGTCAGTCCAATGAATACAGCTCAAAGGAAGCCAGAAGGGTGGCGTTCAGATACCAAGGACGTGCCCCAGCACCACACGGGTCTAGGGGCTGCTGTGAATCAGAACTCCAGGTTCCGATCCTTTCCCGGCTGGCAGGGGTAGAGAGCTGAGAAAGGATCTGATGTAAGCCAGGCTGGCCTCCAACTTCCTGCATAGCCAAGGATGATCTGAACTGTTTGTTGTTGCTGTTGTTCTTTTCGAGACAGGGTTTCTCTGTGGTTTTGGTGCCTGTCCTGGAACTCACTCTTGTAGACCAGGCTGGCCTCGAACTCACTGAGATCCGCCTGCCTCTGCCTCCCGAGTTCTGGGATTAAAGGCGTGCGCCACCACCGCCCGGGGACTCTGAACTCTTGTCGCCCCACACATGCCCTGACCTACTGCTACAAGCTAGGGCACACCTGGTTGTGCGGAGCTGGGATGAAACCCGGACTTCATATACCCTGAGGGAGCTCTCTGCCTCCTTAGCCTTAGCCTGATGACCCAGCTCCAATCCTTTTTCTTTCTGCCATATCTCAGAATCCTACTTGCTGGGACACGGTTTACCCATAAGGAAAATGGGTGGGTACAGTCACGGGCTCATAGAAGGTGTCACTCCGCTAGTTCCTACCCGGTCCCTCGTGTCCCTGCTTGGGGACTTGGGTCTCTGATTGAATCGTTGTCCTTGCAGCCTTAAGTTCTTCCTGTGGCTCAACCCTGATTCCATGAATTTGAGGGCATGCAGCATGCTTTGCGCAGGCCTCATGGGGGGGGAGGGGGGCTGTAGTCCCTCTAGTCCCTGTCATCCAAAGCCCCCTACTTCGACTGCTCCAGGTGCGCCTTCCAATCACAAGCCGTCACGTCCTTCAGAGAGTGAGCCCATTGTCCTTAGAGAGAGACTGAGGTCCCCACTCCACCCCCAGGGCCACACACCTGTAGGGAAGCTCTCCAGACACCCACAAGCCACCATTGTCTTCCCCCAGGAGGCCCATCTTGGGGCTAAGTCATCGGGTGGAACAGTCCATGGCGGGGAGCCCTCTCTGGGCTGTCCTGAGGCTTGGGTGTGCCCTGGCAGGAGGACAAGCAGCCAGGGGCTGGAGCCAGGGCCCCTGCAGGGCGGCCCACGGCCTGCTGGCCCCCACACTCCTGACTGTGCCTTTTGTTCTGTGGATGCTGGGGAACCTGTCCACCTACCTCGGAACCCTTCCCATTCCAGCCATAGGAACTGTTGTGTCCAACCTGGAATCTAAAGTCATTTTCGAAGGCCTGTGGAGTGCTCCACTGGCATCAAGGACAAATTCCAGTCAGCGAAGAGGGCAGACAAACTAGGAGATTGGGCAGCTGGGCCTCTGTGCAGGCCCTTCAGCTCCACTGCTCTGGAGACTGAGGAAGAAGCCCAAGTTCAAGGGCAGCCTGGTGAACTTCTGGGTGACGGTAGTCTGAAAAGCTAAAAGAAGGCTGGGAGTGTTGCTCAGCGGGAGAGCTCCTGCTTAGAGGACCCCAGTGAAGATCGGGGGTGTGGTCAGGGTGGAGCCCCGCCCAGAATCCCCCCAATGCGGGACTGGGGGTGTGGTCAGGGTGGAGCCCCCTCTAGAATTCCCCCATCGAGGTGATGAGGGCATGGTCTCCTAAAATCCCCCAGCAAGGCCTTGAGGGCTTGTGTGAGCTGGGGCCGTGGGCTCCATCCCCAGAAGTAGGTGCTGAGCTACAGACACGGTGATGTAAGAAAGCCAGGCATCTGGTCGCAGAATCTAGCAGCCAACTGCGGATTAGTGTAGGGTGAAGGACAGCTGGACTCCGGACTTCCCCCGCCCAGGATTTGGGCAGGGTCTGAGAAAGCCCCGAATCAAGACAGGAAAAGTGGGAGGGCGGCAAAGTGGATCTGAAGGAGAGTTGAACCCTCCCAGCGTGAGCTTGGCTTAGGGTCCTGGGAAAGGGAGGACGGGAAGCAGGGCTTGGGGGTGCGGAGGTGGAGCCAGGGGTCGGCCAGGAGGGCGGCATGAGGAGCGGGTTACAGTGGGTCCCCAACACTACACAAGCCTCGCACCAGGCTGAGCCCCAGTTTTTCTTTTGTTTAGAGACAATCTCAGTAGCACAGGCTGGCCTTGATTTTTTTTTTTTTTAAGAAGGGTAAAAGGGAGTTCGAGGCCAGCCTGGTCTACAAGAGCTAGTTCTGGGGGGAAAAAAAAGGTAAAAGGGAGGAAAGAGAGAGACTGAGAGAGAGGCCTCTTCAGAAGAACGGCGGCGGGGAGAGTGGGCTTGATTTCTCCTTTTATTTTAGACAGTCATTCGTGAAGTAACCAAGGGTGGCTTTGAGCTCCTGATCCCACAGTCCCTACCTCCACAGTGTTGACGACGGGTGCGCCACCATATGTGACTTCCGTGGCACTGGGAATGGAACCCCAGGCTTCACGTGTCCTCCATGTTCGGACCTCTACCCACGCAGCACAGCCCTGCCCCATCCCTGGTCTTCCTCCTCCTCCTCCTCTTCTTCTCTTAGTATTTATTTATTTTTATAGAGATGTGCGCTCTGTAGTGTATGTTTGTACACCAGGTGTGTATAGGAGCCCTCAGAAGTCCAAAAAGGGCATCGGATCTCCCAGAACTAGCCTTGCAGATGGTCGTGAGCCTTCCTGCGGGGCTGGGAATTGAATTGGGTCCTCTGTAAAGGCTATGAATGCACTTAACTGCAAAGCCCTCTCTGTAGTCCCGCCCTTTGACCCTGCCCTGGCCTCAGTGTGAACCCCAACCCCAACACAGTTTGAATTTGAGCCCAGTTCATCTTGATGGTGGGCTGAGGAGACCCCGCCATGGCCCCCCAGCTCCTCCTCATGCACCTCAGAATGGTGTCACCTGCCCAGGAAAACAGCAGCCTAGCTCCTGGCCAGCTACCTCAGGCCCTGACTCAGGTCCCCTGGGGCCTGCTCTGCCGCATTCCAGGACGGCGTGTACAAACACCGGCGCCTCCCCGTCAGCCCCCAGGGCACTGTCCGGCCTAGTGACCCCCGGGGAAGCACAGCAGGGGACGAGAAACGTACCGACCCACGGGACATCTCTGCTGACCGCTACTTGCAGAGCTGTGGGTATCTGCTTTGGGACAATATCAGGGTACCCATCTTCTTCTCAAGACTTATTCTGAGGGACTAAGCGAACCATCCCCATTCATGTGGGGACACCAAGCACCACAGTCAGGTCCCTCGCTTGAGGGTGGGCTGGGCTCCTATGTCAGATTCTCTTTGTCTCAGCTCATCCGCCTACACAGAGGAGGGAAGAGGTGTCTGGGCTATGGGTCCTGTGGGACAAAGAGCAAAGGTCAGAAGTCATTGACGGCCACCTCCTAGTGCTGAGGACTTGTGGGGTTACTCAAAGATCCTGGGGACACAAAGGCCCAAGGGACTGCATGTCAACAGAACTGTGGCCGTGATATCAGGGTGAAGAATGACAGACAACAAGAAAGTTCCCAAGACCATGTGGTGGGGTAAACGGGGCACAGACACCCCAAATCTGCAGTGCGAGCTGAATTCAAGATGGAGACTCAGGGCCTGGGAGCCACTGGTGACAGGAGGTCATCAACGATGGTCACCACCAACCAACCAACTGACCGATGTCCCTTTCAGTGCGGGTCACCCTGTTGTAACCAGCCTCCCAGCCTCCCTCACAACCCTAGTTCAGTTCAGTTCTGAACACCAAGAGGCAGCCATGTGCCCATAACCTCACATCCTTCTCACCCAAGCCCTCGGTCCCCTGCAGGCCTCATACCTCTCCCTGCCACTGCCTAGAGGCCTCCCAGCCCCCCTCATGGCTCAGTATTAATCTCCTATGGTTGCTGGCAGACATCTTGCTATTATGACACCACCAAAGAGTTCTATAATTCCAGCGAGGAGGCTGACAAGATGGCTCAGCTGATCAGGGTGATCACTGACAAACCTGATGATCTGAGTTCAATCCCAGGATCCGCACAGTGGAAGTAACAGATTCCCGCACATTGTCCCCTGACCTCAACTGATGTTCTGTCTGACGTAGACAAACAAACCTTTAAACGGCTAAAAATAAGTAATAAGGTTGATGGCTCCCTTATAAGGGATGCCACCCAAG